ATCTCTGAAGCTGAGAACTGACTCACAGGCACTGATGGTGGGCTGTGTGCATATGGTGCAGAGCTGCTCAGAGTCTAGACTCGTGTTCTGTTGCTCTAAAGTTCTGGTGGAGGCGAGAGAGTGTTAGATGAATCTTGAAATGTATGGAATGCTAAAAATACTCAAAAAACCCCCAGGAAAGGCTGTGAGGAAAAAGATCAAGATGTTGGAAATTACAGATTAAATCATGGGCATCAATTTCACTTGCTAAATCATCATATCGACCTAATGGACATGGTCTTTATTGTGTTTGCTGGTCCTGCTTGTCTCTGTGAGCAGAAATATCTCCTTCTGCACTGGAGTTTGCCCATCTCCTGCATATAGCTGCTCAAGCCTGGCATATGCAAGTCTGGATGAATTCTATTGAAGAGGCTTTCACGTGTGCATGAATCCAAGAGCACTCAAAAAAAGTGCCACAGTGTTATATTCATTCAAAACCATATTTGGAGAGGAAAGTGTTTTAATACCTGCATATAAAATAAAGTACATCCATTAAAATAGTTCTCCCAGAAATGAGAAGTGGAGATTCATTTGAGTCCTCTCTGAATCAGGAGAAATTTGCATCTCCTATTTGCTACTCAGTTCTACTTTCTACAAGCTGTGGACATGAGACATACAAAGGCTAACTTTTGTATCCTGGTGGGACCAGTCTTCCAGAGAATCATTCCAATTATCAGAGAATTTCTCTCTTGTTTCCCTTTTCCTCAAAGCCTGTTTAGAATAGATACTGTGGTTTTAGCTGTTCTGAGTCACCTTGAGAAGTTAAAAAGACTTCTTTGCACAGACTGTAGAGCTAAGCTAGGGAAACTTGGTGCACGGGTTGAAATAAGGCTTGTCCTCACCCCCTTTGAATACCATTATTTGGTCTTGCTGTTGAAATAAAGCTGGCCAGATATGCAAGATTTTGAGATCAAGATTGCTCTTACAATTCTTGTAGCCTGTAGTTATTTGCAGGGGAGGACATCCTAAGTTCTAATTTGCATTGTCATTACTGTTTATATTGTCCAACAGCTCTTTTGCACAAAGTGTACGTGCAGCTCTGGAACAGTTTTGAAGAAAAAGATGGTGCTGTGCTAGTCAGAAAATTATATGGACTTTGTCAGTGAGTAGTAGGCGTGTTGTCAAGATATTCCCTAGCCATGTATAATTTCACCCATCAGCAAAGCTATTCATTCTTCTGTTTAAGCAAAGACCATGTTTAGATTATCAGTGAAAGAGGGATATAGCAGTCAAAGACATGAGCAGTCCCCATGTGCTTGCATCTGCCCTCTTTCTTCCCATTCAGAGGTTAACATTCCACAGCTGAGCTGGAATAAGAGAGTGTTTGGTATCCATAATTTTTTCCATGTCAGTGTCATACATTGTAATATATGACACTGCTGATGGCACTTTGAAGTTCACTGTGAAAACTTGGCATAGATGTAGATGAAGGAGTTCTCAAAAGTTTCATTCTGCCTGGGGAGTTGTAGGGCTTGATTGCCTCCAATCTGGGCAACTGACATATCCATTGCTCTAACTAGGTCTGGAAGTAAATGTCTTCTAGCTATATTTAAACAGTTCTGAGTGCAAATTTTGGTTTAGCTTTCTCAAATAAATGAGGTGTGTTCACTAACATATTGCAGGTGCATCACAACTTTATATTTGCATCAAGTTCTTACACGGAGAATGGCATGGCAAAGGGCTGATCTCAGCCAGAGCCTCTATGTCTTTATCATGTAACATTCTAAAATTCCATGAGAATAATATAAAAGTATGCATACTTGTGATCTTGTGACCTCACAGATGCCAGAAGTGCTGATTTTGGAAAACACTTCAAAAAACTTGAATTCAGCTTAAATACTTGCCATGCATAGGAGAAGCAAGAGTGCATATATCTATATATATACAGATATAGATATATACAGTGTGTGTATATAAAATTATATTTACATATTTGGAAGTAGAACAGCTGTTTCTACTTCTTCTTCATCTACTTACTAAAGTTTTACACACTCTTTCCATTATGCTGGTGCTGTAGCTTAGGTCAGAGAATGAATTTATGCTAGGGCCACAGTAAATGATCACCCTCTAGCTGTTTTCAGGATTATCTGATTTATATGTCAGACAGAATAATAATGTCATTGGTATCATTCCCTTTCTTGTTTTTCATTTTTAAAATGTTATTTCTTCTTTCTCCACACATGGAATCATTTTCAGGTTTTAGTTCCAGATGTTTACAGATGAGCTTTTCATGGTCTGAGCTCAAAATCAATATCAGCTGGAATTTTAAAGATAGGGTTATTTTCAAATGTTTTTGGGTCATGAGTTTTGCCAGTATTTTTCTCCAACAGAGAGCTCTTTTTGCATGGTTGGAATCTTTTCTGCAATTTTCTTTCTTCCTCAAGCATCACATTCTCATCTTATTTGTCAGAAATAGCCTCCTTTTATTCTCTCTAAAGATAGATATTAATGTCATGCTACCATTCCCTTTTCTTTCAAGAGTTTTTAGTGCTTTCACAAGTTTTTCAAGTAGTTGATTGTACCATTAAACTGTAAGTAATTAACATATTCTGTACTGATATTCTTGTAATTTATAATCTTCATTTCCTTCTGTAAATCATAGTAACATATCTTTGAAAGTTGATAGTTGTGCCTTGACTTCAGATATAAACTATTTTGTGAAGTTTTCACTGTAAGACCATGGCTCACAGTTCTTTCATTTGTGCTGATCCATCTGGTTTTAGAATTGAATGCAATTAATGTAATTTTAAAAGGGAACATCTCAGTGATGCAATTTACATTGCAGCTATACAAATAGATTTATCAGCACAATTGTGATGGAGGCAGATTGTAGCAGGAGGATCAGAATTAGCAGCTAGGGCAGAAAGCTTGTTGAGAGAAAATTGCTCAATTATTGTCAGAGGAGCTGAGCTGTTTCCTTTGTTTTCTGTTGTTAAAAGTGCCTTCCTGCTCCACCTTTGCCCTCTTCCCCTAATTTAGGTAAATTCTATTTTTTAAAAACTCTTTGGTCACAAAGTATTGAAAACATTCATCTCTTAGGTGAAAGTATTTAGTTTCCAGGTTGTTGTGACAGCAAAGTGACTTCTGACTTCAGATTCAGTGATGACAAGGGCTCTCTTGATTCTTTTCTAAGACTTCTTTTGTGAAAGTTTGGAAGAAAAATGTGCTTAGATCAAGCTAGTATTTATATGCTAAGAGAATTTCATCTGGGCTAGTTCTCTGTGGTGTGTGGGAGAAGTAGCAGGTAGCACTATTTGCCTTTAGTTTGCAGACCCATGAAAAGTAGAGCATTTCCTCCAGTTGTAGCTTTGGGTGCCTCCTCATGCAGATCTTTCTGAGCTTTTTCTTTGGGAAGAGAGAAAAAAGTAATGCAGATTTTCTCTGTTTGAAGTTTTTGCAAAGTAACATGTTTTACTTGCTGTGGAGCATGAGCTCTGAGAGTCTGGCCTTTGTGCTGTTATTTTACTACCAAAGAACTACAAAGCAGGAAACAAACCCCTCTCTGAAAAAAATGCCTTGTGCGTTTCCACAGTCAGAAATGTTTGGCTCAAGTTTGGTTTGGGCTACGCTCTTCTTTTTGACTTGTTACTTTTCACTGAAGATTAATTCCTTCCAAAAGGTTCTCTTTTATTTGCCAGCCAGTGTTTGAAAAGTGGGTATGATCTTAAACTGTTTTCCTAGACTATGCTATTAAGCATTTAAGAATTGTCTTCATCAAGGTATCATGATAATCATTGTGTTTCTAAGAATTGTTTAGTTTTGTACAGAATGTTGGGATTTTTTGCTGTTTTTGTGACATGAAGATGCTTGAGCTGACCTCAGACTGGTTCTTACAAACGGGTTCTTAGGGTGGGTGTGCTTTGTTTGGCTTTTTCTTTCGTTTTTAGTAAAGGGGACTTGCTTACATGCAGTTGTATAATTTCTGTCCACAATACAGATAAATGTGAAAGAGTTGCACATCTCTGTGGAAAAAAAGTTCTAAGACAAGCAGACAATACCAAAAGATAATCATACTTGGAAGAATATCAACATTTTAGCTTTTTTCCTCAAAAAAAAAAAAAAGTATGGAGATAGAAAACGTACTTATCTTCAGTCAAAAAGCTAATGTATTTTCTAAAATGGAAATTGGCCTAAGAGGTTTGAAAATTAACTGCATCTGGCAGTTGGAATACTTTGAGAAATTTGTTTTTTGCTGGGTGTTCAGACGAAAAAACTTAGCTGGAACTTGGAAAAAAAACTTAAATGTCACTGACTTGCTTTGGAAATTGCATAAGAGTATGGTCATATGTTTGTTGCTGAAAAACAGTTGCAGAGATAATGAAAAGTTAGTTCACTTCAAATGTGGTGCATGACTAACTTGCAAACTCTCCATTCTTTGTGGGAGAAGGTCAGATGGGTTCAGGTAAACCACTGCCAGGGCTTCTTTAATCCTTAGTGATTAAAAGCATCCAAACGGATTAAAGTCTTCTTTGTCAAGGAGTTCTATAAGACACAGATATCCAACAAACAAACAAAATTTGCTGAAATTATTTAAACACAACTTATATTTAAAGTATTAGGAAGGATCACAAATGAAATTATTGGTGCTTTGTATGAAGACTGAGATTGCTAGACATTTCACAGTTTCATTTTAAGTATATTGAAATGAAAAGAAAATCTGGTTTAGCATTTGTACTTTGCTTTACTGTTATTTATTAAATATTTCTGCAAGGGGAACTTCATTTCTCTATTACGGTATTTCACCCTGTAAAAGTCATGTTTGATATCCAGATAGTGCTGAGCTAGTTACATTTTTATTAGCAGAGGTCAGAAGAGAGGAAATGGTCAGTAAGTTTTACAGCTGAAATTCGTGTAAAATCCAATATCCTTTGTTACATTTGGATCTAACTCAATAAGGGCTGTTGATGTGCTAATGTAATGACTTTTGCATTTAGTAATTTTCTAAAATGTGTTGTTTCTAGGTCTACAGACAAGACTGTGAAACCTTTGGCATGGTAGTGAAGATGCTAATTGATAAAGATCCATCATTAGAGAAGTCCATTCAGTTTGCCCTGAGGCAGAATTTGCATGAAATAGGTGAGAGATGCATTGAAGAACTCAAACATTTCATTGCTCAGTACGATGCTGCCAACCAAGATGTATCAGAGTCCTTCAAAGAGGGCTCATACTAAGGACAAAAATATGCGTTTAGATCCTGTGCATTGTGTATGCCATAGTACATAAATCTGCTTTTTGTGGGGAAAGAGGAACTTTTGTTCGAGATTTGAACCCAAGGCCTGTGCTCCTTTCTAATAGCTCAGGTGACTGTTCCCTTGTCCACTGTGGTCTCCATGATTGTATTCATCCTACCTGTTCTTGTTGACATATATTCTTTTGAAAGGATGTTCTTTTCAAAACTGCCACAAAGCAACAAACTATTTTTAAAACTTTAGACAGTTACCTTGGAAAAAATGATCAGTCTGATGTCTGTACACTTGCATTTTGATGCTTACAAGTGTAACTTGAAACGTATTTTTTATTAAAATTACATGAAGCCGCTCTCATTCCTCAAGTTATGCACAAATATGTCTTGTTATCATACATACTGTACAAAGGGAAACTTGCAAAATTGGTCACAATTATGATTTAAGTTATTTATTCTGGTTTAATTCAAAAAAATGAGATGAATTCTGTAAAATTACACTAGGGTTTATGTCTAGTCTCTGACTGCCAGAGTAATTAACTACTTGATGTGAAAAGTGCTGTATTTTTGTTCTAATTGCAGGTTCTACAAAATGCCTTTTAAATTTTGGTGTTTTCCATATCATGACTCATTACTAGTAAGCAGTATTATGGAGGATGGATTCCATTTTTTGTTACTGTTTGCTCTGCTTTTAACTACACTGTACAGAATGTAGCTGTAGGCAGCCACTGAGCAGGGAAAGGTTGCTTTTCCTCCTCTGTTGCTCTCCACACTTACAACTTCTCAAGCCTTTTCATCCATCAGTTTTAACAATAAGGATGCTGTGTGTAATCTTTATTTCCAACTTTGAGAAGAAGCAGAAATTGGGGTGTCGAGGATGGACAAGGAAAGTGAGCAGGACCATTCTCCAGTAAATCCAGGCATCTTGGTTTGAAAAGACAGGTGTCTGCTAAGGAAGGCAGGAGCTTCTCTTGAAATGGAAAATGTAAACTCCCTCCCTCTGAATTATTATAATTTTGAAATTAAGGGGCTTTTAGGCAAAGATATGGGAAGAGGAATTACAGTTCTTTACTAGGAAAATTAAAATAAAAATGCAGTAATACAAAACAACACTGACAGAATACAACCTAACACCTGTTAGTCAGTGTGTTGGTAGCAGTCTGATTTAATGGGGGCTGCAGTGCTCCTGCAGTGACAGGTGTCATTCTGTTGGAGCAGTGATCCTGTAGAAGGGTGTAGTTTTTCTCTGAAGGTCCAGTTGTCGTGTAGATAGACCTGGTCTTCCTCTGGGAATCCAGCGGAAAAAGGCTCCTCTGGTATTCCAAATCTATTTTTATCTAGGTAGGAATGCTTGGCTCCTCCCCCTGGGTGGAGCATCTCACAATGGGATGATGCCATTTTCAGTCATGCAGTGAGACTCGATGGCCCATTAACAGAAGACATCTCCCTGGACTGAGGATGGGTCCTGGAAGAGATAAAGAAAACTGCCCCACCTGGTTTAACAGCTGGCCCATTAACAGGATATCCCCCCCCCCAGAGTTATGAGGGATGGGTCATGGAAGAGATAAAGAACACTGCTCCACGTGGTTTCGACAGATGGTGATAGAATACATACTTGTGGTGACATCTTACATTGCAACCTAAGACACCAGGTTGCTTTCAATTAGGTCGAACACAAAGTTTATCCCTAAGTCCTTGATTTCACTATCACTTCAAATCTAGGTGATTCTGGTTAGTGTCTGGCCCCACTTTTGACCTGATAGAACAACTTGCAGTTTGGTGCAGTGGTTGAGGAAAGCCAAGAGCTTCCCAGTGAAAAATATTTAGGATGTGGTGGAATCCTGATGAATACATTTATTAAGGTATTGGTTTTTATGAACATTTTAGGAAAATGATAAAGTGATAATCACAAGGAGGTAAGTATAAGCATGATTGTTTTGTATACATTTGCATTTAGAACATGTGAAACTCTGTAAAAGGATTAATAACCAAATTCCTTTGGTTATTAAACCAAATTTCCAGATTTCATCAGAATGGTGTGCAGAAGCACAAAGTAGCAGTGATTTGGCATGTACAAGGTACTGTATGTATCATAGCATCTTACACATGCAAATCTTGATATGGTGTATTAAATATGTATTGCATCAGATTCCTGAGATGCCTGGTTAGTTCTCAGGTCAGTAAGGGGAAGTTTTGCAGTTGGCTTGTCTTATTTTCTAAGAGTTCACATTGCTCCAAGGAGATGACCTGCAACTACCCTTGTTAGCATCTGGGATTGTGTGGGCTGCACAGTGAGTGGGAATCAGCTCATGGATCCTACAGGATGCCAGTTTGGGGAGGGAGAGAGAAAAGAGGCAGGCTGTTGTGACATAGTAGTGAGACCTGATCTACTCCTTCTGGCAACAACCTGGTTTACTGAGATCAGTCAAAATCTTCTCTGATGCAGAAGCATAACTACAGCACTTCACTACTTGCCTACAGGACTGAGAGCCTTCGGGATGTTACATCTGAGTTTCTACTTTGGGTTAGAAATGCTAATGGGAAAAATAATAAAATTGTGTGTAATATATTTTTTATTAAAAATTACCATTGTTACTGTACAGTTTGTTAGGAGTTTCCTTTGTTAGAAGCCTGATTAAGTTTACTATTATACAAGTATCCAAGTTTTCAAGTGCTTTTCTGTAAAGTAAGGCCCAAGTTTACACTCATAGAATCTTAGAATATCTCAAGTTGGAAGGGACCTGTAGTGCTGGTTGAGTGCATCTCCCTGCTCCTCACTGAACCACTAGAAGCATTGTCCAGATGCTCCTTGAACTCTGGGAGGCTTGGGGCTGTACCACTTACCTGGGGATCCTGTTCCAGTGACTAACCATGTCCAATCTGAACTTCCCCTGATGCAGATTCATTCAATTTCCCTGTGTCCTGTCACGGGGTACCAGAGAGAATTCATTGCCTGCCCCTCTGCTGCCCACCCTGAGGACCCTGTAGAATGCAGCGAGGTCACCCCTCAGTCTCATCTGGGGTCCTCCTTTCACAACCTTGATCACCCTACTCTGGGCACACAAATAGATTTATATCCTTATATTGTGGCAGCCAGAACTGCCCCCAGAACTCGAGGTGAGGCTGCCCCAGTGCAGAGCAGAGCAGGACAATCCCCTCCCTTGCCTGGCTGCTGATGCTGTGCCTGATGTCCCCCAGGACAGGGTTGGCCCTCCTGGCTGCCAGGGCACTGCTGCTTTGAGTACAAGTTGCCATCAATGGGGTCCTCCAAGTCTCTCTGCAGGGCTGCTATCTGACTCCTCATTCCCTAAGTTTTACAGAAAATTAGGACTGTCCTGTCCCAGGTGGTGAATGTGGCTCTTGCCCTTGTTAAACTTCATGCAGCTGGTCATTGCCTCCCAGCTTCTTAGTCCATTCAGATCTCTTTGCAGGAATTCTCTGCTCTTGAGGGAGTCCACAGCTCCTCTCAATTTAGTATCATCAGCAAACTCACTCAATGGACATTTGACTTGTCAACCTCCATTAAAGAGCCCTGTGGAGTCCCACTGGTGACCAGCTGCCAGCCTGAGGTAACCCCATTCACTATGCCTAATCATTTGCTTAATCTGACTTTCTTTAAAATTGATTAAACTTTACTTGTGAACTAGGGAGTTTTTTGTAAGTACTATTTCTGTGAAAGGTTTAATTCACATTTGTAAGTGATGAGTAACTGATTTTCCATCTAGTACTTGGCATTGTGTTGAATGCTTGCATTTAACCTTTTGTGATGTATGCTTTCAGTTGGTGTAAGTAAAATATAATATGGAAGTCCTTTAACTTAAGGAAGAAATATGACTTTTATTCTTGCTTGCTTTACAAGTATGTATTTTGGATTAGTTTCATGTAATGTAAAAAATGTCCCTGGTCCAGTGGTCAGCCTCAATGGGGCTCTGGAAAGCTGTAGGAAGAGCACTGGGGGAAGGGAAGGAAACATGCTGTGATGGAGGAATTTAATTTGTCACCTTCAAAGCTCCTGAAAACAGAAATTACTCCTAGCATTTCTTAATGTTGCAGATACCCTTAAAAAATTAAAAATAAGGTGGAAATTGAAGGACCATGGAAATTTAGTGCTGTCTGCCAAGACTGACGTTCTGTAACTTCACTTGGGTGAGCTGGCAGCTTTGAGTGACAATGTGAGCAGTAATGGTGAAAATCAGCAACAAAACCACTATTGATAGGAAAGGAGGTAATGCCAGGTATCAGAGGACCAAATCCTTATCACCCTCTTGTCTGCAAGATTTTCAATTTCGATGAGGATAAAGTTTTACCTTAGTATTTTTTACTACCATGAAGGTTGTACTGGGTGTGGCTGGGATGGAGTTAAATGTTCTTCGTAAAGGCTGGTGCAGTGGTGCTGTGCTTCAGGTTTTTCCTGGAAACATGGTGATAACACTGGGATGTTCCAGCTGTAGCTGAGCAGAGCTTACCCAGAGTCAAGGCCTTTTCTGCCTCTCAGCCCACCCCACCAGTGAGAAGGGTGGGGAGTGCACAAGATGTTGGGAGGAAACACAGCCAGGACAGCTGATCCCAACTGCCCACAGGTGATAGGGCATCATCCTTGGCATATAAAACTAGGGATAGGGGCAAGGAGTTTGCCAGGGCTGGTGCTGTTCAAGGACAGGCTGCGTATTACTTGGCTAGTGCTGAGCTAGTGAGTTTTTTGGTATCACTTCAGGGTTTTCTGTTTGGAGTTTGTTTTTATGTATTAAATGGTCTTCAGCTCAGCCCATGAGTTTTCTTATTTTTGTCTCCCCCATCCCACTGGGGAGTAGTGAGTAAGGAGCTGTGTCATGCTTAGGTGCCTACCAGGGTATACTCTCCACTAGGAATACAGGTAATTCTTCCAATAACACTAACAACACTTTAGAGCTTTTGTGGCTGTATCTCTGCTGTCACAGACACTATATCCTATATAATTTTCTTCAAGGTAGAAAAATCAATTAGAAATATTTATCATAAGAGGTTGTCAAAAATAGTAAGATATTGTGTATGTCAAGCTTAAAAACTAGTCATATAGTCATCTTTAAACTTTTTTTTTAAAAAAGAAAGTATTAAGAAGCAGCTAACAATCTAGGAGAACTAATATTC